TCTTCATATCTCCACACAGCTGTGTCCTTGAAAGATACAAAATAACAGGATGGACCAAAAACTGGTCACTCTCAGACGGCCCTTTGTCTTTGGCCGTGTGACTAAGTTACTCAGAAACAAGAGAGGAAAAACACTGGCTTCTTCTTACATTAGAGAAACAGACAGTGGAAATGTACAGGTTTAAGGCTCATACAGCGCATATGCATAACAAAGTTTGTAATTTTCCCCCATAGATTCTAACATGTATTGACTCAGGTTTGTGAAATACTTATGTAAATGAGATATTTCTGTATTTAATTTTCAATACATTTGCACAAATTTCCAAAAACATGTTTTCACTTTGTCATTATGGGGTATTGTGTGTAGAAAAAAAGTCTGTAGCACAACAAAATGTGGAATAAGTCAAGGGGTATGAATACTTTCTGAAGACACTGTAGGTTGTAATATGGCTTTTCTTTCTGGCTTGGCTTCCCCAGTGATTTTACCCATGCACCGCTACTGTCTATGTCATGGAAAGAATGTTCCTAATGTTTTGTATATTCAGTGTATATACTGTATATAGAGTACATTTCATAGTAATTTATTTATAAATTTAAGCAGGAGCTTTCTCAAATAGCTACGATTTGCCAAATAACTGCAACTGCAATGCATAAGGTTATCCACACATCGCACATAGCTCACTTGATGTGGTAAAACACATCTAACATATTTAGGGACTGCCTGTGGAAACAGGTCTTGTGAACTGCCTGCCTGCATCAGCTGACCTGCAGGATGATTTGGTCAGGTGTACAGTTGCAACCTGGTCTCAGAGCATTTTGTATTATTCTGTATGTAAATCTGAGGTACTGCATTTAGTATGATATGTATTCATTTATGGATGTCCATCACCCATTTCGTATGATATAATTACAATTCGTATGATATGTTACGAATTGGCGAAACATATAATATGTTAGGAATTCTAGCTAAGTGGCTAATGTTAGCTAGCTGGCTAATGTTAGTTAGGCTAGGGGTAAGGTTAGGTTAGGGTTAGGGGAAGGGTTAGCTAAAGGGGTTAGGGTTAGGGTTAGGGGAAGGCTTAGCTAACATGCTAAGTAGTTGCAAAGTAGCTAAAAAGTAGAAAGTAGTTGAAACGTTGCTAATTAGCTAAAATTATCCGTGATGAGATTTGAATTCGCAACCTTTGGGTTGCTAGACGTTCGCGTTATCTAGTCTATGAGACCAGGCAAGTGAGACTGAGCTCCACAATCTGTCACGATCGTCAGGGAGAGACCAATGCGCAGCGTGTTGAACGAACATGGTGAACTTTATTATCTTTAGTGATAATCTACACAAATAAACAAAACAAGAAACGACTCGTGAAGTCCACGGTGACAATGACCGAACACGGAACAAAAACCCACAAACACAAAGGGAAAACAGACAGTTTAAATATGGCTCCCAATCAGAGACAACCAGCCAACAGCTGACACTCGTTGCCTCTGATTGGGAGTCACTCAGGCAAAACATAGAAATCAACAAACTAGAACCCCCAACATAGAAATAAACCACATAGAATGAACACACCCTGGCTCAACATATGGAGTCCCAGAACCAGGGTGTGACAGTACCCCCCCCTAAAGGCGCGGACTGCGACCGCGCCTCAAAAAGAGCAAAACAGGGGAGGGCTGGGTGGGCATACCTCCTCGGCGGCGGTTCTGGCTCCGGCCTTGCCCACCACCCTCCAACAAACCCCCCATAGCGCCCCTGGTCCGGTCTGGCCCCGCTGGCTGGAGCTGGACTGGACGTAGCAGGGGCGGTTAGCTTCAGCTCCGTAGTGGAGCCGTTGACCGGTACCTGGTTAGGCACCGGTGACCCAGGCACGGGTTGTGCCGGACAGACGACGCGCACCCCTGGCTTGGTGCGTGGAGCAGCAACGGGCCGGACCGGGCTGACGATACGCACCCCTGGCTTGGTGCGTGGAGCCGGAACGGGCCTCACCGGACTGACGACTCGCACCCCTGGCTTGGTGCGTGGAGCAGCAACGGGCCGGACCGGGCTGACGATGCGCACCCCTGGCTTGGTGCGTGGAGCCGGAACGGGCCTCACCGGACTGACGACTCGCACCCCTGGCTTGGTGCGTGGAGCAGCGACGGGCCTTGCCAGGCTGACGACTCGCACCCCTGGCTTGGTGCGAGTAGCAGGAACGGGCTGGACCAGGCTGACGACTCGCACCCCTGGCTTGGTGCGAGTGGCAGGAACGGGCTGGACCAGGCTGACGACTCGCACCCCTGGCTTGGTGCGAGTGGCAGGAACAGGCCGGGCCGGGCTGGCGACGCGCACCGTATACTTGGTGCGAGTGGCAGGAACAGGCCGGGCCGGGCTGGCGACGCGCACCGTAGACTTGGTGCGAGTGGCAGGAACAGGCCGGGCCGGGCTGGCGACGCGCACCGTAGACTTGGTGCGAGTGGCAGGAACAGGCCGGGCCGGGCTGGCGACGCACACCGTAGGCTTGGTGCGTGGAGCAGGGACAGGCCGGGCTGGGCTGTCGACGCACACCGTAGGCTTGGTGCGTGGAGCAGGGACTGGCCGGACTGGGCTGGCGACGCACACCGTAGGCTTGGTGCGTGGAGCAGGGACAGGTCGGACCGGGCTGGCGACGCACACCGTAGGCTTGGTGCGTGGAGCAGGGACTGGCCGGACTGGGCTGGCGACGCACACCGTAGGCTTGGTGCGTGGAGCAGGGACAGGCCGAACCGGGCTGTGGAGACGGATAGGAGCCCTGGAGTGAAGAGCGGCCACCACCCGTCCTGGCTGAATGCCTACCCTCACACACTCTGTGTGAGGCATCCGCACAGGACGTACAGGGCGGTGTATCCGTAACCTGGTGGCCTCCAGAATCCGCCCCTTTTTTGCCTCCGTCAGCCCCGTCGTCCATGCCGTGTGCCCCCCCCCTAAAAATGTTCTGGGGTTGCCTCTCGACCGCCCGACGACGACCCTGATCACGCCGTTGCTCCTCTCTACGGCGCGCCTCCACCGTCTCTTCTCCCGGCGCTTCCTCCCATGTCCAGCCCAAGAGCTGCCCCTGGACACGCTGCTTGGTCGTTGCATGGTGGGTTTTTCTGTCACGATCGTCAGGGAGAGACCAATGCGCAGCGTGTTGAACGAACATGGTGAACTTTATTATCTTTAGTGATAATCTACACAAATAAACAAAACAAGAAACGACTCGTGAAGTCCACGGTGACAATGACCGAACACGGAACAAAAACCCACAAACACAAAGGGAAAACAGACAGTTTAAATATGGCTCCCAATCAGAGACAACCAGCCAACAGCTGACACTCGTTGCCTCTGATTGGGAGTCACTCAGGCAAAACATAGAAATCAACAAACTAGAACCCCCAACATAGAAATAAACCACATAGAATGAACACACCCTGGCTCAACATATGGAGTCCCAGAACCAGGGTGTGACACAATCACTACAGCGAAAGGGATCACTGGACATGTGTAACACTGGAATGTGAGAAAGTAACAAAAGCACAAGTTCAGAAAGGGTTTGAAAAATAATATATAATTTTTTCTTCAAGGTCTTTCATGGCGTGCGAAGCATAGGTTCACATAAATACAAATGTTCCAGTAAAATGTGAAATGTTTAATCAGAAAGCATATGTGGTATTTGTAATTCCATACAAAACCTGGACATTAGAGGTCATGATATCGTGCTATAATCTATTGCTGATTAGAAATAGAATGGGGATACTTTTTTCTTTCTTTTTTTAGATCTTGAGTATTACGACATTAAGCTTCCCCCTTGGCAGCTATTCAACAGTGCAACCACACCAGCAATTATAAGGTGTAAAGGCACGCTAATCTAATAGGGAACCAAAACAGTGTGCTGCTGATCATAGAAACAGAATGAAATGTTCAACATTTTACCATTTTAAAAAACACCACACTTTATTGACTTTATCCTGTGTATAAACCCTGATCCAGGATGATAGGAATAACTATTTTGAAAACGTTGTATTTCTCCAGTAAACATCACAATGAAATGTCATGACTTGGATTGCTCTGAGTCTATGGTATGCATTGCTTAGTTACATGATATGCAACATCTGCAGAGCGAGCTATTGAGATTAAAATGTATATAATTTATTTGAACTAATCTGTAACACACTGTTGAAGATTAGGTCATAGAATCAACAACTCAGCCTTTTTTTTACATCTCTGGCCTATTGTGTGAGTAGTGGCTGGAAGGTCCCAAGTTGCCTAGGATTGTAGAAAGGGTGGAGGGGCTCAACTGAAAGGACTAGCAACTTTGCCAGGCGAAGGCATTGAAACTCCAGCCTGGTTGAGTAATAGTAATTGATACTCTTTACACGTGCATGAATGCCAAGTAGAAAAAAGCCTTTTAAAGTGCCCCACCAACAATTACACTCTGTCCACACAATCTGACCCATTGATGCTAAACAGGGCTTTCCCACGGTACTCAAGTCCAATAGAAACAGCCAAACAAGGGACAGAGCTGACAGAGCTGGCATCTCATCTTAGAAGGTGTGGATGAGCATTTACTGTAATTTATTGGTACAGTATTGTGATCATCTTACCTTCAGCTGTATTGAATGATAACTCTAGAGCCCTGAAACATTTAATAACAGTGTTGACATCATCATTCACCATGGATATCTAACAATCTGTTTTTAGCTGATGATTGGGTAATAACCAATTATGTAAATTCTGCTAAGAATGTTGAATTGGGAAGAAACGCATGCATGCACATTCCTTTGTCTCATTCACATCACTCTATCATATCCAAACATATTCAGGCGGGTATGTCTAGGAAGTAAGAGGGTTTTCTGGAGGCATGGATGAGGACAGGAATGTAATGATTATGATTTTGGAGATGCAGCCTGTTGTGCAGGAGTTAGCCCCCCCCCCCCCCCCCCCCCCCACAATGTGACCATAATGCCATGTGACAGGGGGTTCTAGACAGAAAGCTAAGGGGCTAGAGAGAAGAATGTGAGGCGGAATGGGGAAAGTGTGTGTTTAAGAGAGAGGCGAGCGAGAGGGGGAGTGAGAGAGAGGAGAGGCAAAGCACTAAGTGGACCAGAGAGTTGAACATCACAAGACTGCACACAATGAAGGTAAGAAAATACTTTTAAAAATATTGACAGTGCCTTGAGATGTCAAGATAACTTACATTATTATTACTTGCATTATATTTTGGGATTGTTATGTGCTTTATTTCTCTCTTTCATCATATGGACTATAATAACTAGTTGAAATACAGTGCCACTTCAGGACTAGTAAGTTTAAAACACAGACAAGACCTGCAGGAAAGTAACCTAATTTACACATAAAGTAGATCTAGCTTGAGTTTATCTGGATTACAAATGAGTAAGGGCAATAAAAAAACACCAATAAATAAACCTATATCTGCACTGTGTATTGTGAAAACATAATGTTGGGTCCTGATGTTTTCATTAGAGACCATGTTCTGAGACACTTATAAGAAATGACTATTCCCCCTACAGAAGGCCTCAATGAATGCATGTATGATTGGGCACCCCACTGCATCTATTTTTTGGACCACTGCGCCTGTTTGTTGCTGCCTGAATAGCACAGGTTGATGAGAGGCCCTGTCAGTGGCTGCCTATGGAACCGCATAAGGATAGCAAACCATGTAGAAAAACAAATCGTACTTATCCAATTCATTGTGCTAACATTGATATGTTTGCTCCTTAGTCACAAGGAAAGTGGCATATTCTTTAAAAAAAGTATTTGCCCCTTATCCTTTCAGTTCTTGTAGCAGCTGAATGTCACAAGGAGAATATCTTAGAGCGCTCGGAGAAATGCCAAAGGGTAATACTAACCGCTGTACGGTCAGAACTGCGTGACAATGGCCTACATTTGTAGAGTAGTCTACTAACTCTCTGGACTGGTGAGAAGTCATCTGCATAGCTACGGAGTCATTCAACATTGCAGGACAGATTTTAATCATATTTTGAGGTGAAATGTGCCTGGTAGCAAAATAAAGGAATTGATTGTCTTGTTCAAGCCTCATATTGTATATAAATTGTGCATTTGAATTGAGTGATACAGTATACACTGAGTATACATTTGGACATTTTAGAGTATACCAACCATTAGGAATACCTTCCTAATATTGAGTTGTCTCAATTGTCTCAAAGCTTGAAAATCCTTCTTAACATGTCTTCTCACCTTCATCTACACTGATTGAAGTGGATTTAACAAGTGACATCAACTAGGGATCATAGCTGTCACCTGGATTCACCTGGTCAGTCTATGTCATGGAAAGAGTTCCTAATGTTTTGTATACTCCGTGTATGTAGCTATTTAAGGTACTAAACTGTCTTATTGTGAAAATAGTCATATTCATGGGAGTGGATTCAAAGTTTAGGTTGAAGTGTAATAGAGTAGACAGGATGAGTTTTAACTGCAGTTGATCAAGTCCAAGAGACAACAAAGAACCCCTTGCTCTCCATTGACATAGGATATATTTTGTCTGTTTGATTTTTATGTTCTGTGTCTCAGGGTATAATAAATATAAAGTAAACGAACAACTTTGGGATGAATGCCACCATGAACCAGACAGAGGGGCAGTACAGAGACAGCTACAACATCACACCTCGCAATGTAACCGCTGGCTTCCAGTCCCCTTTCTCCCCGGTCATGGACAAGGCCATCAATGGCATCACCATCATCATCCTCTTCATCACCATGGTGTCCCTGGGCTGCACCATGGAGATCTCTAAGATCAAGGCCCATATCCTGAAGCCCAAAGGGGTGGCTATCGCAGTGGTGGCCCAGTTTGGTATTATGCCCCTCACCGCCTTCAGCCTGGCCAAAATCTTCCAGCTGGGCCCTATCGAGGCTGTGACCGTGCTGATCTGTGGCTGCTGTCCCGGGGGAAACCTCTCCAACATCTTCGCCCTGGCCCTGAAGGGTGACATGAACCTCAGGTGAAACGCATTGATATATCTGTTGTGAGGAGATTACAGCAGTCTGCTCCATCAGGCTGCTGAGGGTTTTCAACACATTTACATCAGGCCACAGAGGCTATTAACATGTCAGACAAAACTTAAATGGTATCTTCTTGAAAGTAAATTGTTTCACAATAGAAAAATGCAAATGTTTAAATCATTTTGCACATGGCATGAATGCAAAACAAAAAAATCACACAAACTCAGTTAATAAAAAATGGAATTGAAATTATAAGAAGTTTCATTCCCCCCTCTTTTTATATCCTACAGCATTGTAATGACCACATGTTCTACTGTTTTGGCCCTGGGTATGATGCCTCTGCTGCTCTTCCTATATTGCCATGGCTTCAATAACTTGGAAAAAGCTGTGCCTTACACTGGCATCACCATAGCTCTCATCATGACACTAGTACCCTGTGCCATTGGCATAGCCATCAACCATCGGGTACCGCAGTACGCTCAGATCATCATCAAGGTAAGCTTGACTAATGCATTTATACAGCATGTTCTAATTACTAATGGACATGAATGGACAGCCTCTGTAAAAGCATGCCTGATTTGGCAGAGCTTTTACTCCACAGGTTGGTCTAAGCATCTTACTGATTGCTTCCGTGGCCATTGGCGTCATGTCAGGTATCACCATTGGGGGAACAGTGAGGGTGGTTCTCTCACCCCAACTCATGGCCACGGCTGCACTGATGCCCCTGACAGGCTACCTGCTGGGATATATCATGTCAACCATCCTCAAAGTCAATCATCAGTAAGTGTACTGCTGTATTCATCTGTTCAAGGATGGGACTGGGCCAAGGGGAATGTATCCATTCATAGCTATCAATAATAATATACAGTTGAGCGAACCATGTAACAAATATTTTCTCAGATGCAGGAGGACTATTTCTATAGAGACAGGCTGTCAGAACATCCAGCTGTGTTCCACCATCTTGAAGGTGGCCTTTCCCCCGGAAGTCATTGGCCCCCTGTATCTGTTCCCGCTGATCTACATCATGTTCCAGGGAGGCGAGGCGTTGCTTTTCATCATTCTCTTCAGATGTTACCAAAGGTTCAAGCCACCAGCTGAGGGTTAAGTGTCGCAGCTGTCTGGGTAACACTAGGGTAGGTGTGGCTCAGAGAACTTACTGTACCCGACCCACGCTGTCGTTAGTGTGCCACTGTTTGATAAAATAAAGGCAGTCTTTCTTCTAAAATAATCTCTTTCTTTCCCATAGCAAAGCCTGTATACCTGGCAGTGGCTGGTAAAGTGTAGGAAGTATAGTTGCTATAGGTCCCAGATGGGAGAGGCCCATAGAGATGGAGAGGGCACAGGAGGACACCAGACCAAACCGAACAGGTCCAGGACAGGAACCAAGACCATAGCAGTTGAGAGGCAACGGAAGACATCAAATGTATGCCATTTTAGGGCAACATAACTTGCTTGGGATGTGCAGCACAATTTTACCAATGCAACTGTACAGTCGTGGTCAAAAGTTTGGAGAATGACACAAGTATTGGTCTTCACAAAGTTCGCTGCTTCAGTGTTATGAGATATTTTTGTCAGATGTTACTATGGTATACTGAAGTATAATTACAAGCATTCCATTAGTGTCAAAGGCTTTTATTGACAATTACATTTAGTTTATGCAAAGAGTCAATTTTTGCAGTGTTGACCCTTCTTTTTCAAGACCTCTGCAATCCGCCCTGGCATGCTGTCAATTAACTTCTGGGCCACATCCTGACTGATGGCAGCCCATTCTTGCATAATCAATACTTGGAGTTTGTCTGCATTTGTGGGTTTTTGTTTGTCCACCCGCCTCTTGAGGATCGACCACAAGTTCTCAATGGGATTAAGGTCTGGGGAGTTTCCTGGCCATGGATCCAAAATGTAGATGTTTTGTTCCCCGAGCCACTTAGTTATCACTTTTGCCATATGGCAAGGTGCTCCATCATGCTGGAAAAGGCATTGGTCATCACCAAACTGTTCTTGGATGGTTGGGAGAAGTTGCTCTCGGAGGATGTGTTGGTACCATTCTTTATTCATGGCTGTATTCTTAGGCAAAATTGTGAGTGAGCCCACTCCCTTGGCTGAGAAGCAACCCCACACATGAATGGTCTCAGGATGCTTTACTGTTAGCATGACACAGGACTGATGGTAGCGCTCACCTTGTCTTCTCCGGACAAGGTGTTTTCCGGATGCCCCAAACAATCGGAAAGGGGATTCATCAGAGAAAATGACTTTACCCCAGTCCTCAGCAGTCCAATCCCTGTACCTTTTGCAGAATATCAGTCTGTCCCTGATGTTTTTCCTGGAGAGAAGTGGCTTCTTTGCTGCCCTTCTTGACACCAGGCCATCCTCTAAAAGTCTTCGCCTCACTGTGCGTGCTGATGCACTCACTCCGGCCTGCTGCCATTCCTGAGCAAGCTCTGCACTGGTGGTGCCCCGATCCCGCAGCTGAATCAACTTTAGGAGACGGTCCTGGCGCTTGCTGGACTTTCTTGGGTGCCCTGACGCCTTCTTCACAACAATTGAACCTATCTCCTTCAAGATCTTGATGATCCGATAAATGGTTGATTTAGGTGCAAATTTACTAGCAGCAATATCCTTGTCTGTGAAGCCCTTTTTGTGCAAAGCAATGATGACTGCACGTTTCCTTACAGGTAACCATGGTTAACAGAGGAAGAACAATGATTTCAAGCACCACCCTCCTTTTAAAGCTTCCACTCTGTTATTCTAACTCAATCAGCATGACAGAGTGATCTCCAGCCTTGTCCTCGTCAACACTCTCACCTGTGTTAACGAGAGAATCACTGACATGATGGCAGCTGGTCCTTTTGTAGCAGGGCTGAAATTACATTTACATTTTAGTCATTTAGCAGACGCTCTTATCCAGAGCGACTTACAGTTAGTGCATACATTTTCATACTGGGCCCCCATGGGAATCGAACCCACACCCCTGGTGTTGCAAACGCCATGCTCTACCAACTGAGCTACACGGGGGGCTATGCTGTGGAAATGTTTTTTTGGGATTAAGTTCATTTTCATGACAAAGAGGGACTTTGCAATTAATTGCAATTAATCTGATCACTCTTCATGACATTCTGGAGTATATGCAAATTGCTATCATCAAAACTGAGGCAGCAGACTTTGTGAAAATTTGTATTTGTGTCATTCTCAAAACTTTTGACCACTACTGTATACTGTAGGTGGAATGCAGTGTCTACGCAACTAGATACTATCATGTATTGTTGACCCTAGAGTATTTTGACACAACAGGGAATGCCCAGGTATGTTATACTTAGTGTGTAAATATACAAAAAGTTGTATAATGTAGATTAAGGTTTCAACCAAATACACAATGACAATGGAGTCATTTCTCTATGACATAAAAGCAGCATATCTGTACCACATTTATTTTCTCCTTTTTCTGATAGTATAGAGTAATCAAATCCATCTGTGTTCTTGTGACAGTATGAAAATGTATGCACTCACTAGCTGTAAGTCGCTCTGGATAAGAGCGTCTGCTAAATGACTAAAATGTAATTAAACAAGCCTCTCATTTTCTGCAAATACATTTTCAAGAAGTGGGTTTTAGAAGTCAAGACAATTAATAAAGTAATTCACAATGCCACCTGGTTCTGAAAGAAAGTACACTAAACGTAGCTATGAAACTATTCAGTGAAAGAGGTTGGGATTGGTTGACAATGACAAAAACAAAAAGTTGCACAGCTCAAATTATATTGAATCAAAATGATCACAGGGTATATACAGAGTCAAATTTACTTAAACTTTTTACCCATATTAAAATACTATCTTCACACCAATTGCATTGTTTAGTCCCAAAGGAAATCCAAAGCAACAGAAACCATTTGAACAGACATGACACTAAGCTTCTGTACATAACAATTACCTGTTTTTCATTAATTATGATTAACCCAATTAACTTTAGTCTCACACATTATGTCCTTATGAGTCCACCAAGGTGTCAATGTTAAAAGACCAGTCTTAATATAATTTTCCAAGAATTGTGGAAGCGTCAAAGGGACCATGGCTGATCAACAGCATTCTGGACATGAATATATTAAATACTCAATTTAGTTTCCCTATCTAGACTTCATTTAAACAATTTCAAAACAACCCACAAATAAATAGTAAATACTAGGTATCCAAAAAACACCACCAACTATGCTCCAATTTGTTACATCACTAAGCTGTGGAGACCGAAAATTTCAATTCATTTTAAAATCCTCTTTTAGGAATGAAACCCAATACACATGGTGTTTGTGCATAGAAGTGGAGATCTAAGGCCATTATAGAAAGGGTGTACTGACATGAATATGAATGCTAAGCCCAATGTCAATGAGCTGAGAAAAGGTGTGCCTCAACCTTGGGAACACTTGCCTTTAGCAAAATCATCAAATAAGTGCGTGGGGAAAAACATTGAGCTCAAAACCATGATCAGAAAGGATGTGACATTACATAGTTGTGCCATAAAGAACCCCAATGAGAATATTATGATAAGTTAAAATCATACTTCCCTATCATTAAAATTTTAGAGTAATTGTAAAATCTGTGTATGTGTGAGAATCATTGGTTCAATCTAAGTTGCAGTGGCCTTCATCATGCATCATTCCTAATGTGCTGCTGTGCCTGTTGTGCTGCAGTGATCATGTAAAAACAGGTTGACATGGTACAAATTGGTGATGGGTGCAATGATCCTCATAAAATATGTTTGCAGCATTAACCATTGAAAAAAATAAATTTCAAATGGCATATTGAGCCATTCAAAAAAACCTTCCAACATACTGGGTGCTCATTCTTTTTGCTCTCTCTTTTATGGTTAAAAGAGCACGTGTCAGACACTGGACATAGTGTAAGAAGTCCTATCAAATGGCTAAGCATGTATGTACATGTGAAACTCCTCTGTGCCCTCCTCTGGATGGGGGAAGAGGTAACATTCGGCTGAGAATGACACGGCCTCACTTAGTGCCCCTGGAGGAGGTGGGTGGATAGTCTGTGTTGTGTTGGCAGCTGCTGCAGTGCGGAGCTCCAGACAGGCCTCTGGCTCAACACAGCAGGTCAACAGCAACCCTGTCAGCAACTCTGGGGGTCTCCGTAACATACGCCCAAGTGGCTGCAGCATGCTTCAGGCCTCCTTTAACAAAGGCATATCTGCAGGACCAAACAAGAGACATCAATACACTGTATGCATATATGGGCATTATCAACCAATACATGCAAGAAGAGAGGCCTGTTTAGAGAGACATATTGATAGAAGGCCCACCGTCAGAGTAGTCCATCTCAGAGTCGAGGAAGGGCAGGCTATGCTGCTCACTGCAAGTGGAGTCCCTCCGCTGTGAGGGTGAAGGCGCTGCAGCAGCAGCCTGCTCAGGGCCCCAGCAGGAGGAGGATGAGAGAGCGGAGGAAGAGGCGAAGGATGGTGGTACTGGGTGAACCATTGCCATCTCTGAGAGCTGGGGGAGGGTGGAAGGCCTGGCCTGGGCAATGAGAGGCTCTGTCGTCCCTGCAGCTTGCTGGCCCTCTGACAGCACTATCTGGACCCGGGATTCAGAGCTGAGACTCAGAGCCCCTTCGCCACACACCGCCTCCTCATAGGAGGGCAGGGCCACCTGTACCCCCTCCACCATGATGGACACGGGCTGGCCTGACACTCCCTGCTCACGGCTGTGAGGGGGACCACAGAGGAGTGGAACAGTCTGTTAATGCCTCATTACTTTAGACTCTTAAAGGAAAGATTCACCCATTTTGAAAGTTATATCGTATTTGTACATTTCTGAGCGATGTTCTATCGATTCCTGGGGTCATATCATGTTTTCATGTGTATCTCAGCTATTCGCTGTTCAAGCAGACATGAATACAGCCGGAATTAGAAGTTTTGCATCATATGAGCTCTATTTCTGCCTGCTTGAACAGCTTTATGAGAGACATGCACACCCCTGGAGTACACACACAGCTTTAGTGGGATTAGCCTACCACAGTTGATACTGAATAAGCATGTCTGTGGTTTCAGGCCACTCACCGGCTGTGGTTGAAGGACTTGAGTTTAGGCTGCAGCAGGACAAACAGGACCACCATAAGCAGGATGAGGGCTACAGAGCTGGCAGTGGAGGCCACGATGGACAGGGTGGGTATGCCCAACACGGGGGCAGGGTCTCTGTCTGGAAGAGGGGAAGCAGGCAATGAGCCCACACTCAAACACTGTCCATTAAAGGACCTAGACAGTCCTGCTTGAGGCTTCAAAAAGTAGAATAGTATAATTTCATCTTGCAGGTTGATACAACAATAAAACAAATAGTTCAAGCTACCTAACACTGAACTCTGTGGAGAATAAGACAGTGTAATCACAATATGGTCACCAACCTTGGTCCAGGAGACAGCTAATCTGCATGGGGCCGTCCCACTCCCCGTCCTGACAGGTCAGGTATTTATAGTCTCCCTTCAGGATGTAGCCTTCATCACAGAAGTACTCGATCACGGTGCGATGGCTTAGTCTATGGCAGGGGGACGGGTGGCAGGTGTAGCCCCCATTCTCTGGCTCAAATGGAGGCAAACACACTGTTGACAAGAAACAAGAGAACCATTATCAGTGAGCTCACAAACCACATTTTAGACTTAAAAATATGTTACAGTGTGTGGAATGAATTCAGAGTATTTAGTAAAGCCATTAGTACCATCACTGTGTATGCAGCGGGGTGGGTCTGAGGACCAGCAGCCCAGGGGGGTGCAGGTGATGATGTTGGGCCCGTCTTCCAGGAAGCCTGGGTCACAGCTGTACTGGAGCACCGTGCCCACAGGGAAGGAACCTCTGTTGGTCTCTGTCAGGTTGACTGACCCATGCTGGACCATGAACGGCCTCACACATCCTTGGTTGACACAGCTAATCTGCATGGGGCCGTCCCACTCCCCTTCCTGACAGGTAAGATATTTGTATTTGTATTCTCCCTTCAGCATGTAGCCTTCATCACAGAAGTACTCGATCACAGTACCCTGGCCTAGCCGGTGGCAGGGAGAGGGGTGGCAGGTGTACCCTCCATTCTCAGGCTCAGACGGAGGCCGGCACACTGCTGGTCAGAAACAACACAATCATCATGTTATAGTTATAATCCTGCATTATCTACATTTTGGTTTCAACTTTATGTTGTTCAACTGGAGAGAAATTATACTCTTCACAATGAGTCATACTGGTGGCCACATTGTGGAGAGAGCCACTCACCGTCACTCCGTATGCAGCGGGGTGGGTCTGAGGTCCAGAGGCCAAGAGGGGTGCAGGTGATTATGCTGGGCCCATCAGCTAGGTAGCCTGGGTCACAGCTGTACTGGAGCACTGTGCCCACAGGGAAGGAACCCCTGTTGGTCTCTGTCAGGTTGACCCAGCTGTTCTGCACCATGAACGGCCTCACACATCCTGAGGAGGGACAAAAGGTCATATAATTGATGCTAGCACATTCTGATGTTTATTAATGCTCTATTGTATGGTTTTAAAACACTGTTGTTAAAGGTATTTCTATGTGAGTGTTTTTTTTTATGCTTATATAATATAAATGAGTCACGAAGGCAGTGGGAGCTGAGTTGGCGCTAAGCGAGAGAGAAGGATCTCTAGCAACAGCCTAACGCCCCCATCCACATCCAGCATATTTTACTAATCAGCTATGAGAGGGAGAGGATGTGGGGACTTGACACCTTAATATTGAGTGTAACTCATATTACATGTGGCAGATGTGCGCCAGCTGTTTGCTCAAATAAACCCAATTCCGATGTTATAATTTACCACATAGAGCAATGTACATCTGGCATTATTAGACTGAAAGAGAGGAGCTGAATCTTAGCAGCATAAAAGCAGAAGTAGTGTATGGAATGGAGGAATGAAGCTGTGTGAGGGAGGCTTTTGCTGAAGATGAGCGATCTCTTACCTGACCCTTGTCCAGTGGATAGCACAGTCAGGAAGAGCAACAGAGAAAGTGACCGCTTGTCAGCTGAGGTGGGCAGCCCAGGGGCTTTTGACATGGACTCTAACATTCCATTGCACATCTTTTACTTCCACTGCAGAGGTAGTCAGCTCAACCTAGGGATAGAAGAGCAATCCCGTCCAAGCTCTAGTTATGCTAGCCACATTTGACTGAGTCCAGTGCATATATCCCAAGATCAATCAAGGAAGAGCAGATGCTTTGTTTGGGTCCAATGAGAACAAGGCCAATATCTGACTGTAGCTAGATGCATACGGCCAAAGAAACGACATTCAATACTAGCATTCTATTTGATAGCTAGCTATCCAACTTGTTACGTTCTGTTAGGTACCCAAGCCAGGTCCATTTTGTTTTAAGCTCGCTAACTTACGTTATTTATCGCCGGACGTCAGCATAATAGCTAAATGTGAATCAATTAGCTCTAACTAGAACTAGCTATGCTAACAACAAAACCCTTAGCTAGCTACAGTAGCTGCATAGCTAGCTAACTATCGTTAGCTCTTCTTGTAGAGCTAGCAACGTCTGCTATACTATACTTAACTAACGTATGTCTCTTTGCATGCTTACCCACACAACAATACGACCAGTCAGATCCTCCTCCACCCTCTTCCTCGCTCACTGTGGATACATCTGGCTAATAATATTAGTCTCTGTCCAAATACAAAGGTAAAACGGCAACTGTCCCTCGCCAGATGCATCAACTATGCGCGGTCAGGGAGACTGGAAATCGTCCCCCACTAGACTATTTTGGCGACCGCTAGGACGCTAGGCAGAGTTCTTCTTCTTCTTCTGGATTGGGTTCTTCTTCTTCTTTAAAGTTTTATGGCAGACTTCACCTATTTGTGTATTGCCACCACCTACTGTACGGAATTTTGAAACAAAACAAAAATAATATATTCCCACTCCTTCAGTCACATTCAAATCACATCCCTACAAAGTTCCAGGTGCCTGTGAGGATGGAGCATTCATCGACAGGATTCCTTGTAATGCTTCTGCAGAAAAGTTCCTGAGTCCCAAAACACACTCAGCCACACTCACAATGATGCCTATTTTCTCAAATTTCCTCTCTGTTTGCGCTGTGCAGTTGATAACCAAAGTAATAAATGCTACAAAGTCCACCTCATTAACATGCAACATGTCAGGATCCCTATGTTGACAAGGGACATCATCTTGTGTCTCTACTCCTACTACCATTACTTCTTCAACTACACCCCTTTCTTCCACTCTTGTCCATGCCTCAGGATAGGAGACATTCTGGACAGCCCTTATTCTTGCCACCTCCATCTCCTTCACCCTAACAGGACACTTCAGAAATTTGGGTGGATGTTCACCACCACAATTGCAGCATTTAGGCTCAGCTGGCATATAATACTCCTCCTGTCTACATACACATTACCAAATAATTTATATTTATCACACTGCATGGGTTTGGGCACGAAGGCTCTCACAGGGAATCTCATATAACCCAAATACATGTGAGAAGGGAGAGACTCTTCATCAAAAAACAATAAAATGGATGGAGTGGGCTTCGCCCCTTCTGTTCCATAGAAACACAAAAAAACTAAATAAGCCCACTTCTCGTTATTGTCATCGATGCCACCTCATCCAACACATCCACAACTTTAATAGAGACTTCAAACAGATCTCCCAGGTAACAACATCATCCACATGTATTGATCACATTTTTACTAATACTGTATGACTTTGTTCTAAAGCTGTATCCGTACCCATTGGCTGCAGTGATCACAATATAGTGGCTATATCCAGGAAAGCCAAAGTTCCAAAAGCTGGGCCTAAAATAGTGTATAAGAGATCATACAAAAGATTTTGCTGTGACTCTTATGTGGATAATGTTAAAAATATTTGTTGGTCTGATGTGATTAATAAGGAGCATCCAGATGCTCAACTTGATGAAATGTATGAAATCGCTTCTTCCAATTATTGATAAACATGCACCTGTTAAGAAACGTACTGTTACAACTATTAATGCTCCATGGATTGATGAGGAATTGAAAAACTGTATGGTTGAAAGAGATGGGGTAAAAAGGAGTGGCCAATAAGTCTGGCTGCACATCTGACTGGCTGTCTTACTGCCAATTGAGAAATTGTCACTAAATTCAACAAAAATAAGAAAAAACTGTATTATGAAGTCAAGATCAATGATATAAAGAATTATAACAACAATTATAACAACAACTTTGGAGTACTTTAAATGAAATTATGGGCAGAAAAACAAATTCAACTCCAGCTTTCATCGAATCAGATAGCTTATTCATCACAAAACCATTTGATGTTGCCAATTATTTTAATGTTTACTTCATTGGCAAAGTTGGCAAACTTAGGCAGGAAATGGCAACAAAGAACAGTGAGCCATTGTATTCATGCATAAAAAAAAAACAATGAAAAAAAAAACATTGTAAGTTTGAATTTTGTCAAGTTAGTGTGGGAGAGGTGGAAAAATGATTGTTATAGATCATGTTATAGAGAATGACAAACCTCCTGGCATTGACAACTTAGATGGAAAGCTACTGAGGATGGTAGCTGACTTTATAGCCACTCCTATTTGTCATATCTTTAATCTGAGCCTAGAGGAAAGTGTTTGTCCTCAGGCCTGGAGGGAAGCCAAAGTCATTCCGCTACCCAAGAGTGGTAAAGCGGCCTTTACTGGTTCTAACAGCAGACCTATCAGCTTGCTGCCAGCTCTTAGCAAACTATTGTGTTTGACCAAATACAATGCTATTTCTCTGTAAACAAATGAACAACAAACTTTCAGCATGCTTATAGAGAAGGGCACTCCACATGTACTGCGCTGACACAAATGACTGATGATTGGTTGAAATAAAATAATAATACGAAGATAGTGGTAGCTGTACTGTTAGACTTCAGTGTAGCCTTTGATATTATTGACCATAACCTGTTGTTGAGAAAACATACACCACCGGTCAAAAGTTTTAGAACACCTACTCATTCAAGGGTTTTTCTTTATTTTTACAATTTTCTACATTGTAGAAAAATAGTGAAGACATCAAATCTATGAAATAACACATATGGAACCACGTTGTTAAACAAATCAAAATATATTTTATATTTGAGATTCTTCAAATAACCACCCTTTGCCTTGATGACAGCTTTGCACACTCTTGGCATTCTCTCAACCAGCTTCATGAGGTAGTCACCTGGTAGTCACCTGGAATGCATTTCAATTAACAGGTGTGCCTTCTTAAAAGTTAATTTGTGGAATTTCTTTCCTTCTTAATGCGTTTGAGCCAATCAGTTGTGTTGTGACAAGGTAGGGGGGTATGCAGAAGATAGCCCTATTTAGTAAAAGACCAAGTCCATATTATGGCAAGAACAGTTCAAATAAGCAAAGAGAAACGACAAGTGCAGCCGCAAAAACCATCAAACGCTATGATGAAACTGGCTCTGAGGACCGCCACAGGAATGGAAGACCCAGAGTTACCTCTGCTACAGACGATAAGTTCATTAGAGTTACCAGCCTCAGAAATTGCAGCCCAAATAACTGCTTCACAGAGTTCAAGTAACAGACACATCTCAACATCAACTGTTCAGAGGAGACTGTGTGAATCAGGCCTTCATTGTTGAATTGCTGCAAAGAAACCACAACTAAAGGACACCAATAAAAAGAAGAGACCTGCTTGGGCCAAGAAACACGAGCAATGGACATTAGACTGGTGGAAATGTGTCCTTTGGTCTTGAGTCAAAATTTGAGATTTTTGGTTCCAACCGCCGTGTGTTTGTGAGACGCGGAGTGGGCGAATGGATGATCTCTGCATGTGTAGTTCTCACCGTAAAACATGGAGGAGGAGGTGTTATGGTGTGGGGGTGCTTTGCTGGTGACACTGTCTGTGATTTATTTAGAATTCAAGGCACAGTTAACCAACATGGCTACCACAGCATTCTGCAACGATACACCATCCCATCTGGTTTGCGCTTAGTGGGACTATCATTTGTTTTTCAACAGGGCAATGACCCAACACACCTCCAGGCTGTGTAAGGGCTATTTGACCAAGAAGGAGAGTGATGGAGTGCTGCATCAGATGACCTGGTCTCCACAATCACCTGACCTCAACCAAATTGAGATGGTTTGGGAAGGAAAAGCAGCCAACAAGTGCTTAGCATATGTGGGAACTCCTTCAAGACTGTTGGAAAAGCATTCCAGGTGAAACTGGTTGAGAGAATGCCAAGAGTGTGCAAAGCTGTCATCAAAGCAAAGGGTGGCTATTTGAAGAATCTCAAATATAAAATATATTTTGATTTGTTTAACACTTTTTTGGTTACTACATGATTCCATCTGTGTTATTTCATTTTGGTTACTACATGATTCCATCTGTGTTATTTCATAGTTTTGATGTCTTCACTATTATTCTACAATGTAAAAAAATTGTAAAAATAAAGAAAAACCCTTGAATGAGTAGGTGTGTCCAAACTTTTGACTGGTACTGTATGTGTGCGTTCCTATCAAAGTGCTTTATTTACCTTACCATAATACACTTTCTGTATGACTGCGTTACGTCATTTCAACTGTAGCACAAGATAAGCATTTAGTTGTCTGTCTATTCCTTTATAACTGTGGACACGCAATGTACTAATTTCATAACCTTTATGGTGTTATACTCAATTGTGCTTATGTACATTCTTTCATTAGTTTGGTAGAAAACTGCTAATCATGTCAGAGAAGTATTAGCTTGTGTTGTATCCTTTTGAAGTTGCCCTCATCATGACCAGGCCTGTGTATTTATTTGGCCTGTTTAGCATAGCTCTGCCCTGCCCCCTTGTGGAGCTATTCAGTTACTGGTGCATTTATAAATGTCATGTTGTAAATGCAATTTATTATTCTTATAGCAGTGTTATGTTACTTCGTTGTAACATCGTTTTATTGCTACATCCTGATATTGTATTATAATTACTAATCATTCCTCTTTATTCTTTACTTTCAGAAACCACACACACTAAAAAACAATATTGAACGTAATTTGCCAACATAACTGGAACTGGAGTTTTTTATTCTAGGGGCCAGCTTTTGTATTCTAGCAACATACTCTTTGAATGTACACTTCTTTACAGTTTTACTGGAGGAAAAAACTGCAAGAAAATACAATGACAACTGACATTTCATTACAAATATGCCTAACCCATATTTCAATAGTAGCGGTTGAACAAAGACATTGTATCACATGGCAGGTCACCTGTGAAGTCAGTCAGTCAGTAATTGCTGCAGATGTGCTCAATAGTGCTTGAGCGTATGGTACTCCCCAAAGCATGGCGCAACACACAGGGGTATGTCACAAGGTACACACATGTACTTTGTCAACTTCCTCTGCTTCCTTCTCATGGTGCTGGACAGGCAGACTTTGCAGTGCCTCCGTGTGCGACTGCCTTGAGCAGCAGTTTGAGGGACTTTGGAGGGAAAATGCCGTGCAGTGAGGCGCAGAGGATTATCTGCAGCAGGACGGCCCCCAGTGGATGGGTGCCGAGGGGTGTGGTGCTCTTCCAGCAGCTCTCTCATGAGGTTCTCTCTGTACTTTTGGTAGGTAATCACCTCACCTATAGGGGCGATAGAGAGGGAGGATGAGGGAGTGGGTAGGTGAGTGAGATTGTCAATATAATGGAACAATGTGATTTGTATGTGAACTGTATGTAAAATTTCAAAAAACCTTGTTCATTATTCATCTCACCTGTTAGCTGGCGGTGAACTATGTGGCCATTGAGGACAGCAGTGTCGATCAGATGGAAAAATATCTTCTTATACCACTTGGTGGTTTTCCAAGCACATGCCAC